ACTCATAATCTAGCTAAGGCAGCCTCTTCCCTCTCTTTCGGGAGCCATTTGTGGCTCTCTAATTTTCCCAATATTACATGTATTCCTACCAATGTTCTAAACTCTGATGGCAAAAGAAGAGGGACGTCTAGTATGTCGTCGTTAGGGTTTCCTAGCCCTGGCGATCTGGAGGCGTATGCCCAGCCGCCACCACCGCCGTGCCGGCCGTGTGTGGCCTTCCTTCCGCGCCTAGGGAAAGCCTAGGAGTCGGAATTGTGGTGGCCGAGTCCGGGCCGCGCGACCCCTCGTGGCCCCAAGACTCCGCGGTATGCAAGATGGGTTCTGGGTGCCCTAACCCCGGACGCAAGGCTGAGACGTAGTCTGCCTACAAAAACCCATCTAGGGGCCGCCGACGAACTGACGGGGCCGGCGGAGCCCCGTCAGGAGCAATGAATCTCCTCGGTTGGAACTGCCGAGGGGGTGGGAACTCTCGGACAGTTCGTGACCTTGTGAGTCTAGTGTAGGCTCACTCCCCGAGTATCGTTTTTCTTTGTGAGAATAGGCAGTCTAAGAACAAAATGAATCGTCTTCGTGCTAGGTTAGGTTTGAGAGGTTTTGATGCTTTTGACTGTGTCGGTCGTAGTGGTGGTCTTGCTTTTTATTGGCATGAGTCTTTGAGTCTTGATGTAAAAGAAATAAATGAATGATATATTGATGCGTATGTAACTGGTAAGGTGGGTGAGCCACCCTGGAGGCTTACCTGTGTCTACGGCGAGCCACGGACAGAGGACCGTCATCGCATGTGGTCCCTTCTCCGTGATCTTCACCAAAAGGCCAACATGCCGTGGGTCGTTGTGGGAGACTTTAACGAAGCGATGTGGAGTTTTGAGCACTTCTCAGACACACCGCGTTCAGTAGGTCAGATGCTTGATTTCAAAGATGTTCTTGAGGTTTGTGGTTTGGGCGACCTTGGTTTTGCAGGTCTGCCTTATACTTTTGATAATTGTTGAGGGGGGCGGGCTAATGTAAAGGTCCGCCTCGACTGCGCTGTGGCCAACAACATGTGGAGAGATGTCTTCGCTCATGCCAGGGTGGAGCACCTGGTGGCGCCCAGCTCCGACCACTTGCCCATCTTGCTTCGATGCGCGCTCGAGGAGACGAGCCAGGCAACAGGCAGGAGATGTAGACAGTATGAGGTAATGTGGGAACGGGACCCATCCCTGCCCGAGGTAATTATGAACACATGGACTGAGTTGGGTGCTATGCTGAATCTTGGTGATATTGCTTCCGGTTTGGGTAACTTGATGAAAAAATTGCAAGACTGGAGCCACAAAATTTTTGGTAATGTGATTAAGGAAATTAACAAATCTCGCTCCCACTTGGAGGAGCTTATGTCGATGAATGCAGATAGGAAGGACATACGGGAGGAGACCGACCGCATGAACGAGCTGCTATACAGAGAGGAGATGTTGTGGATGCAGCGGGTTCGTATTGCATGGCTGAGGGAAGGCCACCGCAACACTCAGTTTTTTCACTGGAAAGCGATGTGGCGTGCGCGGAAAAATCGCATTAAGGCACTCATTGATGAGGCAGGGGTCACGTACAGGGACCATGGTTCCATGGCGGCTATGGCCACGGCCTACTTTTCTAAGCTTTTTACTGCTGATTCTTTACTATGTGCAGATCCAGTTATAGATTTGATACAGACTCGTGTGACTGACAGTATGAATGATGGCCTGTGCGCAGATTTTTCAGACAAGGAAGTAGATGATGCTCTCTTCCAGATTGGACCACTCAAGGCGCCAGGGCCAGATGGATTCCCAGCCCGCTTCTTCCAGAGGAACTGGGCAGTTATGAGAGAACAGGTTATGGCAGGAGTGCGGGAATTTTTTCGTATAGGGATCATGCCTAAGGGGGTGAATGACACTTCCATTGTTCTCATCCTGAAGGTGGATAACCCGGAGAGGCTAACTGAGTTTCGTCCAATAAGCCTATGCAATGTCATATATAAGGTGGTGTCAAAGTGTTTGGTGAATCGACTGAGACCTATTTTGGATAATATTATCTCTCCTCAACAAAGTGCATTTGTCCCTGGAAGGATGATTACAGATAATGCACTAATTGCCTTTGAGTGTTTCCACTTTATTCAGCAGGAGAAGAACCCTAGCAAGAGCTTCTGTGCATATAAGCTGGATTTATCAAAAGCTTATGACAGGGTGGACTGGATCTTCTTGGAGCGAATGATGAAAAAGATGGGCTTCGCTCGCCGGTGGGTGGACTGGATTATGGCTTGCGTCACCTCGGTGAGATATACAGTGAAATTCAATGGAACCCTCTTGGAATCATTTGCACCGTTGCGCGGGCTACGGCAAGGTGATCCTTTGTCCCCGTTTTTGTTCCTGTTTGTGGCTGATGGTCTATCTGCATTGTTGAATGATGGAGAGCAAAGAGGAGATTATACCCCGCTAAAAATATGCCGAAGAGCGCCGGGAGTGTCTCACTTATTATTCACAGATGATACGTTGCTCTTCTTCAAGGCAGAGGCAGACCAAGCTAAAAAGGTCCAACAAGTGCTAAATACATATGCAAAGGCCACTGGACAATTTATTAATCCGTCTAAATGTAGTGCCCTGTTTGGCACTTCGTGTCCAGCCATGATGCAAGACGTGGTGAGAGATATTCTCCATATTGGTACTGTTACTTTTGAGGAAAGGTACCTAGGCCTTCCAACGCCCGAGGGTCGCATGTCGCGAGGTAAATTTCAGAATGTGCAGTCCCGGTTGTTGAAAAGGATTATTGCGTGGGGCGATACCCTCTCTCTGGCTGGCAAGGAGACTATGATCAAGGCGGTAGCTCAGGCCATCCCTACGTATATTATGAGCGTTTTCAAGTTACCTATGTCTGTCTGCGATGATCTAAACAGAATGGTCCGGAATTTTTGGTGGGGGCATCGGAAGGCAAGCGGAAAACACATTGGATAGCATGATCAAGGATCCAAGATCAGAAAAGCAAGGGTGGTTTGGGATTCAGAGATTTCCGCCTCTTCAACCAGGCGTTCCTGGCGAGACAGGCTTGGCGTTTGCTAACTAATCCCACCAGCTTGTGTGTGCAGGTTCTCAAGGCACGGTACTATCACGACGGGCGCCTCGAAGATACGGTATTCTCGGGGAATGCATCTCCGACTTGGCAGGCGATTTAGCACGGCCTCGAGCTCTTGAAAAAGGGCATCATATGGCGCGTCAGGGGCGGGCAGGACATCCGCATTTGGCGAGACCGGTGGCTGCCTAGGGAGCCATCATGCCAACCCATATCCCTGCAGGGTACGTGCCGCCTAAGGAGGGTAGCGGAGCTCCTGGATGGCGAGGGGTCCTGGCGCATGGACCTGCTCCACCGCTACTTCCTCCCTGCGGATGTCGACATCATCACCAGTATCCGTACGTCGACCCGCGTCACCGAGGATATTATTGCATGGGCACCTGAGAGGAACGGTATCTTCACCGTTCGGTCCGCCTACTGCCTGGCCATGGACGAGCGCGAGCGTCCTTCGGCTTCCGCCACGAGCAGGGCACCGGATGGTCGTCGCGCCATCTAGAAGATCATATGGGGGTGCCCTGCTCCCCCTAAGGTACGCGTGTTCGCTTGGAGAGTCGCCACCAACTCACTTGCTACTTGGGCCAATAAAGCCTCGCGACACCTCGAGCTTACTGACATTTGCCCCTTGTGTGGTGTTGAACGCGAGGATGGATTCCATGCGCTTTGCAGGTGTCCCCTGGCAAGAGAGCTCTGGCGAGTTATGACCTTGGACTGGAACATCCCCAAGATGGAGGCCATCGTCAACACTGGCCCAGAGTGGATCTTTTCACTGCTGGACCCCTTGGATGAGACGGCGAGACTGGTGGTGCTCATGACTATGTGGAGAGTATGGCATGTTCGCAATGAGATCACACACGACAAGGCGCCACCCACTGCCGAAGCCTCTCGACGCTTATTGCACGGATACATCAACTCACTCTTGTGCATACAGCAACATCCTGATGGTAACCTAGAGAAAGGGAAGATGGTGGTCCTGCCTTCACCACCACGCGCTCCAGAAAGTACGGCGCCCAAGGTGCGCGCACACTGGGTACCGCCCCAGCCGGGCTGGGTTAAGTTGAACACGGATGGGAGCTACATAGCGGCCACAGGTGCGACGGGAGGACGTATGATCCTGCGTGATGACAGAGGCGAGATCATCTACAGCGCATGTAGGGAGCTACGTACATGCGACAACGCTTTAGAAGCGGAGCTAGCAACCTGCAGAGAAGGCTTGGAGCGGGCCTTGCACCGATCTAGCCTACCTATTCTGGTTGAGATGGATAGCGCGGAGGCGGTGTCGATGATTACAGCACGCGAGATGGATATATCATCACATTCTGCACTTATAGAAGAGATTCGTAGGTTGGCTCGAAGCGATGCTAGGGAGATCTCTTTTACTCTTTGTAGCCGTCTGCAGAACAGGATTAGTCATGAGCTGGCCGCCTATGGCCGTAGCACTCCGCGCACAGCAGTCTGGCTTACTGCCGGAATGAATTTTGTTGTAAACCTGGCTCTCGCTGAGAAACCTCCTTGAGTAATGAGAATTCCTTTTTTCCCGCAAAAAAATGTTCTAAACTCTGAATAAAGGAGCAGTTATCTAAAAAAAAAAGATGAACTCTTATTACAATCGTTTTTCAAAAAAAAATTATGGGGTAGGATGGCCGGAGTAGCCGCCTTGACCAGTTCGTGCGTCACTGATCACGTGTGTAAAACTCTTGTGCTTGTTTCACCCGTGTAAAATAAAGGAGGAGAGCCCTTCAAAAAAAAAAAAAAGAGAGGAGAGGCGTCTGTTGAACGGACTCTGATCACGCGTGTAAAACTCCTGTGCTCGTTTCAGAAGCTGGTCTAAAAGCCAGAAAGGTCTGACCGCCTCCGCCTCCGCGTACGTCCCCAACTCGGTCGAACGCCGCCGCTGCCGCCGCCGGGGCTCTCCACCGCGATCCCAGATGGCGGCGCGAATCGCGATCATCAACGAGGATAGGTGCAAGCCCAAGAAGTGCCGCCAGGAATGCAGGAAGAGCTGCCCCGTCGTCAAGACCGGTGAGGACCCATCATCCCGTACTCTCTCTCGTGTAAAGCCCTAAATCCGCCCTTCGCGTCGTGGTCTCGATTTGGCCGGCGCTGATCGATGCGCTCCTTCCCGTGCTCGTTGGCGAATTGGGCACAGCCTCGATTTCTATGAGCTCTCAATTTGCTGGCCATAATCAACTTGTTTACGCCCCGGCGGCTCGGGAATCAAATTCCCCACGATCGACCCCACCGGCGTCGGGGCATCTCATATGAGCGCCTTGTGCTGCTGCATATTAAGTTGTTTTGACACGATTATATTCTCCGTGAAGTAAATCCACCTATCTTCCTGCCTTCAACTGGATTGTTATGACAACGTCGTGAGATGGTGGTTTGTTATGCAGGGAAGCATTGTATTGAAGTTACTCCGGCGTCCAAGTCCGCGTTCATCTCTGAAGAGCTGTGCATTGGTTGTGGTATTTGCGTCAAGGTACATGCCTTGTAATTAGGCTTGATCAATGTAGCTGTTAAAATGTGTGGTTCCCTATGTGTATGTACTGTTGATATAATTGTCTTATGCACTTGTGCTGTCTGCATTCCTTGCTTCAGAAATGCCCATTTGGTGCCATTCAGATCATCAACCTCCCAAAAGATTTGGATAAAGATACCACCCATCGCTATGGCCCAAATACCTTCAAATTGCACAGGTAATTTGCTCGAAAGGTTGCTGTCGTCTGTTATGCTTGAAGCTGCCCTTATCCAGAATTATTGCTGATGATCTAGTGCTTGCAGGTTGCCTGTTCCGAGACCTGGCCAGGTTTTGGGCCTTGTTGGAGCCAATGGAATTGGAAAGTCGACAGCTCTTAAGGTGTTATGTGGCAAGTTGAAACCTAATTTGGGGAAATTCGATGTATAATCCCTGTCTCCTACCTTGTTTCTTTTCCATGTGTTGCTACCACCTCGGTTTCTTTTGGGATAAAAAGTTTGTTTTGTTTCATCCTTCTTTTATGAACTGTGCAAGCGATTGTTATTTAGCTTTGTATCTTCTTTTGTTTTGCAGAATCCGCCTGACTGGCAGGAAATCCTTACATACTTCCGGGGGTCTGAACTTCAGAATTACTTTACGCGTCTGTTGGAGGATAATCTCAAGGTGCTTTTTACTCATTATGTTAGGTCGTTCAGACACTGAGACACATATATAGGAAGCTCTCAATGTCCTCTTTACAATAAAAGCACACTTGCTGTGTTGTTTTTCTGTTCTGTACCATCATATACATTGTTATAAAGCATCTTCGGTACACCCGAATATGCAATCGAAGTAGGCTAGTAGCAATGTTCTCTTCCACCTATATACATTCAGCCATAGGAGTGTGCATAGTCTAATATTGTTGAGGTCCTGGAGCTGTTACTGTGCTCTTAGTTACTTCATGACACATATTATGGCATATTATGACAGTCTGTTTCAGTATACGATTATGTGCTGTGGTTTTCACTATTGAACATTTCTGATCCCACTCTACTTCTCTAGGCAATCATAAAGCGTCAAGACGTTGAAAGCATTCCGAAAGCAGTTCAAGGGAATGTCGGTCAACTACTTGACAAGTTAGACCAGAGGGGTGTTAAAGCTCAATTGTGCATTGACCTTGAATTGAACCAAGTTCTGGACCGGAATGTAGAAGATCTTTCCGGTGGTGAGCTGCAGAGATTTGCCATAGCAGGCACTGCTGCACAAAGTGCAGACATTTACATGTTTGACGAACCATCAGTTTACCTTGATGTCAAGCAGAGGCTTAAAGCTGCACAAGTCATTAGGTCCTTGCATAGAGCAAACAGGTAATGCATATTTGTTACCATGATTATCTTCCAATACTCTGAAATATAAGCTTTTAGAAGTTCAGTATCAGCTGCTCACGTTCTGGTTTTGTTTTCAGCTATGTAATCGTTGTGGAACATGATTTGAGTGTCTTGGATTACATGTCCGATTTTATTTGCTGTTCGTATGGGAAACCAGGAGCATTTGGTGTAGTTACGCTGCCATTTTCAGTCCGAGAAGGTATCAATGTTTTCCTGGCTGGATTTGTTCCAACAGAAAATCTTCGGTTTCGAGATGAAGCACTTACATTTAAGGTAGGCTAACATATGCACACATGATTGAGAACCCTTTTCAGGATGAAGTTTGTTCTTATGTTAGTGCCAACTTTCAGATTGTTGAGGCCCAGGAAAATGCTGAAGAGATTGAGACATACCAGCGGTACAAGTACCCTACCATGAGCAAAACAATTGGAAATTTCAAGCTCACTGTCATGGAAGGTGAATTCACTGATTCTCAGATTGTTGTGATGCTTGGTGAGAACGGGACAGGGAAAACTACGTTCATCAAAATGCTGGTATGTCTATCTCCACTCCTTCCTCATCACCTCCCATCTCTGATCTCTCTGTCAACATTTTTATCGCTCAAGTCACTGAGAGTCTTGGAATGAATACAAAACAGTCGAAATATAAATTGTATATAAATCAATTTTTTTCCTCATGGCATTTACCATGAGGATCCATATCAAGATTGTAATAAGTAATGGTGTCTGGTGCTGTGAAGTGTTTTCTCTACCTCTTCTGAAAACTACAGCGAGTTTCCTAGTAATGTTTAAATTCCAAAGGCAATACATAGTGTCTACTAGTAGTACTATAAGCATGCAACGATTCTGGTTCTAGAGTGCCATATCAGCACTAAGTTTAGTATAAAAATGACCCGTGTCAAAATTTACTGTTTTTTCGCTAACATGAATTTGGTGCTGATGGAAACATAATGGATACAATTGAGTTTTCTGTTAGTTCAGATTCTGAACTCAGTTTGATGCATTGTACTTTCTTTTCTACATTTTCTAAGTCAAAAGTGTCTTTTATTACTGTCAGCTTCCTGCAAAGTGTGCATTTTTGTCAAAATTAAGGTTTTACTAGTCCTCGTGATGATGATGCACTGGATGTCTTCTGATTTTATAGGTTTTACAAGATTCCTTAAGTTATGCATTTTTAATCTGGATAAAAGAAGTAATCTATTTGCATCCAATATATTAGACATCTGGTATCTTGTATTCATTGTTTGTTATGACTGTACAGGCTGGGCGGCTGAAGCCAGATACTGTGGAAGGAGCTGAGATTGAAATTCCTAAATTTTATGTGTCCCACAAGCCTCAGCAGCTTGAAACAAAATTCCAGGGCACAGTGAGTCAATTGCTTCATCAGAAAATACCAGAATCATGTACTCATCCTCAATTTAGGTCTGATGTCATTAAACCACTACAAATTGAGCAACTCATGGACCGGGTAGTTACAAATTTATCAGGTGGAGAACGCCAAAGAGTGGCATTATGTCTTTGCCTTGGAAAGGTACTTCCTTCTTTTGCCTGAACTTTTCTAATAGCTTTATAAAATAGATTTTCTTTATGAGAGAATAACATATATATTGTTTCCATGTTCTGTGGTGTTCAAAAGATTCAGGACTTCAGGGATTATTATTTTTGCATATTTAATACTTACTGTCCTTTTTGCCTTTTGTTTTTCTTATTGTATTATATGCAAAATTGATGTCCTACTCTATCAGTATGTACCGCTCTTTGCCTGAGTCTGCCTTTTAGGTATTTTATGTACTCCCTCCGATCCATATTTATTGACGCACACTTAGTACAATTTTGTACTGAAGTTGTACAAAGTATGCGTCAATTAATATGGATAGGAGGCAGTACTTTTTTTCCCCTTTTGCTTTTGTTACCGTGTCGTTTAAAATCTTTTACTATATTGGATACTATATGCATGTTCAACAATCCATATGTGCTTCCCCCTGCTTAAGTGGGATTTTCAGTATATACCAGATACAAAGCACTTGGTCCTTCGTCCTTGTGTACACAGAGCTTCAATCCTGTCAAACATATGCATGTGTTTGTTCAGACTAAGAATGTAAATACTGTCAGCTTGTGGATCCTAACTTCGAAGTTGTTCTTCAGCCTGCAGATATTTATCTGATCGATGAACCAAGTGCATCTCTTGATTCAGAGCAGCGCATTGTTGCCTCAAAGGTTATCAAAAGATTCATCTTTCATGCAAAGAAAACCGCATTTGTTGTTGAGCATGACTTCATCATGGCAACCTACTTAGCTGACAAGGTTATTGTTTACGAGGGACGGCCTTCTGTAGACTGTACTGCTAATGCACCTCAGACTCTACTCTCTGGGATGAATAAATTCCTATCGGTAAGTGCAGCTAGCCAGAGTTGTCAACAAAAGTTATAATAACAGCACCAGCTCAAGTTGGTTTCTTATTTCCTAACTTTGACTCTGAATTTGGATCTATTTGTTCATTTATCTTTCCATAGTGTAATCTGGTGGCTACCTCCGTTTCAGAATACTAAAAAACTTCACTTGGTGTTCTCATCCACTAATTTTTCTTTCTTTTGTTCAACATTATCTTGTGGCAGCAACTTGACATCACGTTCAGAAGAGACCCAACCAACTATAGGCCGCGGATAAACAAGCTGGACTCTACGAAAGACAAAGAACAAAAGTCTGTAGGGTCCTACTACTACCTGTGATATAGGCATCACGGTTGATACTTTGGAACCGTTGCAACTGCAACACACTCTGCCTGGGCTGCTTCTTGTTGGAGAAGAAACTGAACTGGATTTGTCCAAGGGGGAGGCGAGACACGGCAAGGGAGCGACGACTGGAACGTCTGGAGGAGCAAGACAACATGGGGGACGTCGGAGCAAGGAGACATGCCAACGCCGCCAGCAGGCGCAACATGTTAACCTCCCATGGAATCTGGTGAAGGAATGCAGAGAAAGGGAAGCAGGAAGTGCTGCAAGGTTGGATCGGATCAAGGAGCCTGCGCCAGAAGAAGTAATCCCAACCTTTGGAACCCCTCCTGAACCTGGAGTGCTCTGTCGGTAAGGAATCCGAGCACTGTCAAGCACCATGGCTGCATTATGATTGTACTACCCATTCATGTATGCTCTTTATTACCTTTAATTAATCGATCGACCTTTTTGGTCTCAGGACTTCGCCCACAGTCATTGCAGGACGCTGTGAGATGAAGCAACACGTTTGATGGTGTCGAAGCCTCGGCACCGAGCTGAGAACTGCTTGGGCTTTTCTCTGAAGAAGAATTGGGTGTTGCTTGAACTTATGAGACTACTGTGTTTTCTGTAATAGGGTTGTACCAGGTTTTTTGCCCCATAGCTTGTATTCAGGTATGGAATACAAGCAGTGGGTTTTCCTGGTGAACATTGAACCCGCAATCTTCCTACCATTTTCAAAAAAAGTCGTATAAGAATTTGCCGGGGGGCAAGGTTTGCCTCTTATAATCCTTTGCCAGACCTGGGCGCTTCTAGCACTGGGTTTGTCCTTTTTAAGAATTTGCATAGTAGCATTGCATGAAATAATATCTGGCGTCTTTGGAATGCATGAATTTCACTTGAAAATTCCCATGACAAGCCCAGAAAAGCTACAAGATTAAATAAAACTGGTCATGTATGTCATTGCCAAATACTGACACTATGGAGCTACAGCTGCAGCTCAGACCACAACAAGTACTGTATTATCTAAGGTTAAGAACACAAGTGATACAGTTTCAGATTTTCAGGCTAAAACTCAAATTCCCTAACTAAAAGAACTCAAAGTCGAGGAATTTCCCTCCAGACTCCACATGGTCTGCCCCTGGCCCTGCTGGCACCCTCTTGCTGCTGTTGTAATTCGTCTCCACCCTGTCCATGGACGCCGACTTCGCCGGCATTGCTGCGAAGGCGATGGGCTCCACGGGCCTGGGCACGCCGGGCGGCGTGCTGCACCGGATGAGCGCCCAGTTGACACCCTCGAAGAAGGGGTGCTGCTTGATCTCGGCCGCCCCCCTCTTCACGCCGAGCCGGCCCTGGGGCTCCTTGGCCAGCAGGCCCCTGATGAGGTCCTTGCTGGCGCCGCTCGTCGGCGGGCCGCCCTCCGGGAACCGGAGCTGCTGGCCGACGACGTTGAACAGCGTGGCCCGGTTCGTCTGCCCCTTGAACGGCGTCTTGCCGTACATGAGCTCGTGCAGGAACACGCCGAAGGTCCACCAGTCCACCGCGCTGCCGTGGCCCTCCCCCTTGATGATCTCCGGCGCCAGGTACTCGTGCGTGCCCACGAACGACATGGACCGCGCGCCGGTCGGCTCCACGACGAGCTCCGGCATGGCGCCCTGCTGCTGCTCGCCGCTCTTCGATCTGGAGGCCGCGGAGGCGCTCTTCTTGCTGCTCCGGCCGCCGAAGAGCTTGGGCATGAAGCACGTGGGCTGGATGCAGGCGCCGCCGTTGGGGCCGGAGGCGCTGCAGGGCAGCGACGGCCGGACCAGCGTCGTCGAGGCGGCGCAGCGGAGGGAGAGGTCGAAGTCGGAGAGCATGACGTGGCCGTCGTCCCTGACCAGCACGTTCTCCGGCTTCAGGTCGCGGTACACCACCCCGAGCATGTGCAGGTACTCCAGCGCAAGGAGCACCTCCGCGGCATAGAACCTGAGCGAAAGAGAGCCATGTCAGATGCTTGGAACGAGAATTGTTCCACAGATTAGCTGCAAAGATGCACCGAAACCGTACCTTGCGGCGTGCTCCGGGAAGAGCTTGCCGGGCTGGCGCTGGCGGAGGGCGTGGAGGTCGCCGCCGGGGCAGAACTCCATGACGAGGCAGGCGAACTTGTCGGTCTCGAAGTGGGCGTAGAGGGTGGGGAGGAAGGGGTGGTCCAGCAGCTGCAGGATCTCGCGCTCCGTCTCCACGCGGCTCAGCTTCCGGCGGCTCTCCAGCGACGCCTTGTCCATCACCTTCATCGCGAACCACGGCGCCCTGGCCGCGCCGCCGCCGCCCTTGCTGAGCTCGGAGAGGTACACCGTCCCGATGTCGCCGCAGCCGAGCCGGCGGAGCAGCCGGAAGTCCCCCATCCCGAGGGGCCCGTCCCGCACGCGCGCCGCCAGGACGGCCTTCCACCTAGGGTCGCCCCCCTTGTGGGGCTTCCCGCCCGCGCCGCCGCTCCCGCCGGTGCCGGCCGTGCCGTTGCTCCAGTCGCTGGCCGCGCTGCTGCTGACGCTGGTCTTGGCGCTCCGGCTCGTGACGGTGCCGCTGGGCGCCATGCTGGTGCAGGTGGTCGTGACCGCCCCGCCGCCGGAGGAGCTGTCGCCCATGCTGCTGTGCGGGCTCGCGGCGGCGCTCACCGGCGGGGACGCGTCCCACACGATCACCGGCTTGGCCGCCGCCGCCGGCGGCGGCGCCTTCTTGTCGCCCCGCCCGTGGTCCACGGCGACGAGCACGGGGTCCATCTCGTCGACCGGCTCCGGCGGGTGGCTGGCCCCGGAGAAGGTGCTCCTCGGCGGCGCCCCGTCGTCGTCGTCCTCCTCCTCCTCGCTGGACGCAATGCTGAGCCTCACCTTGTCGAACCCAGCAAGGACCTCCTCCTTGTCCTTCGCGGCCGCCGGCTTGGCGCCGGCGTCCATGTGGAAGCGGAAGGCGTCGGGAAGGAAGTCGAAGCGGAACTCGAAGTCGTGGGCGGGATCCGGGCGCACCTGCGCGAGCTGGGAGCGGGAGCGCGCGTGGCCCGGGGCTGACCTCGGCGGCTTGGCGTGCGGTGGAGGGCGAGATGACTGCATCGCTCGCTCCTTGGCCTGGTCCTTGCGAGTAATGGAGGTGGTGTGGTGTAGTAACGGGAGGATGACAAAAGAGGTTGGGGGAGGGGGAGGGGGACACAATCACACAACTGCCGGGCCGCGCGTAATTCGTAGCGGGGAGAGCGCGTCTTCTTCTCCTTCTCTCTCTCTTGTGTGTTGCGGAGACAATGATGGCAGGGCAGAGCGGGCGAGGCAGTAGTAGTAATAGTGGTACTGGCTGGGCGGTGTATAGTCCTTCTCTGCTGCTTCCGCGCTTGGATTCTGCCGCTTTGTTTGCAGTGAACTTCCTTCTTATATTTGATGTAAAAAAAACATCCTCCTTGTATTATTACCGTTATAAAAGAAGGTGAGTACCGGCGGTAAGGCCATCTCCAACGTCGACCCCTCGAATCACCCGAAAAAGCCGTCCCGTAGGTTCGGACTGGTCTGTATTAGTCTAGAGATCAATCCGGTCGTAATTTCTCTCACAACCAGAAACTAGAGATAAATGTGAGGACCTTACGTGAGTCTGAACAGCATCCACAATCGCTTCTGACCATCCAAACCCCTTCCTTCCTCGCGCTCACGCACGTTCTCGTCCGGCGGCAGCTGCACATTGACGTTGACTCAGAGCAAACACGACTTTTCGCTGTCTCCGCCATTGAAGCAGCGTGTCAGCCCAGGGCACGGTCTGACTGAACACACCTCCTCGCGCATTCAAATAGCTGCAAGTTGCCCGCCTTCCTTCATTAAACCCGCGCATGTGCTGAGATACCTACTCCGGCCACACGTCTGTTCGCAAGCCGGCCGGCATTAAACACAACGATGGTTGGCTCCTCGCGTCCGCCTGCTATTTAAACGATGCCAGGCACTGAGCAAGAACCGCACCACATCTTCGGCCCCCATTTCCTCATCGAACAATTTTCTCCATAGCATCCAGCGAGCAGGAAGAAAAGTTCCCCGGCATAAAAGTCGGCTGGATGGCCCGTCGAGCCCACTGGTCACGAGCCGAGGAGTGGCGAGTTGCTCCAGGTCGGCACGGGGGGAGCACGGCGGAACAGGCATTGTGGTTGCCATGAATGACGTTGTGTCGTAACGCCCCTCCCATGCATGCGACCACGCCACCTGACGCCAACGCACGCGTAACTACGCCCTGCCAGCAGAGAAAGAAGCCGGGTGCGCGGACATCGACGAGGTAGCTGCCAACACGTTCGCGTCCGCCGCCATCATCGAGGAGAAATAGAACACGAGAGGCCCCCGCCCCCGCTTGGGTCCCATGAAGGCCATCGCCGAAGCGACGCCGGCGTACACAACTGGTGCCTTGCCCTCTGGCAGGCCGCCGTCGTCCCTCTACCCAAAAACCAACTTTGATCCGTGAAGCGTAGGGACCCTTCCCCTCCGCGTGAAGCATCAGCCGGCGGTTCCACTCTGATGAGCGGTGGGAAAGCGAGTCGCCCTTTGCACTGAAGCAGATACCTCTGGGCTCATGGCTGCCGGACATGGGGACGACAATAGAGATCCATCGCGGTCGTCAGTAGACTAGTCAAGGGTATCCATGTCGTCGGAACTTGGAATGGATATCCGCCGGCGCTGGTCGTAGACTAGTTTTATCTTAGTCCGGCATCGTTTTTAGTCAAAAACACGTCCAAAATGTAAAGATTTTTTTCCAGTTTGTATGAAATCCGTTGTGTTTGCATGAATTTCATCTAGTTTGTTGAAAAAGAGTTTGAAGTATGTGGTTAGTGTTGGGCGGTGGCTTCATAATCAATGTCCGCACACTAGCTCCCCTGTCTGCAAACAGATGCCGAAGCCAATTTGCGGGTCACCGTTGGAGATGTCCTAACCACTGCTTCGGTAAACACCTCCTTCTACCAAAAAAAAAGGTAAACACCTCCTTCCCGAAGCAAATGCACCGCCACCGGCCCGTCTCGCCTCTGGTAGCCTGAGGGCCATGGCGCGGTGGATCCTGACCCTTGTCAGCGGGAGGGCTTCATTTTTAAATGTTTTTTTTGAGTTTTGTTAGGATTTTTGTCCTGCTTAGTAAAACGAGACAATGGCGGCTCTGTGAAGATGGAATAAGGTTCTCCCCGCCTAGCATGTGTCCCGATGGTGCGTCTAGTATCGTTCGTGGGCGTGTGAAGGTGTGTCTCCGGTGGATCTGGCCTTGGATTTGCTTGATCTGATCGTAGTTTTGTCTATGTTCATGTGTTTTCAGATTGGATCATTTCGATTTACGCTACTCTTCAGTGGCGGCGGTTGCTATTCTGATGCGCTGGTTCTATGGAGTCTTAGCACGACGACTTCCCGACTGTCTACCGCAACAAATTTTGCTCGGTTTCGACGAGGGAGCGGCGATGATGGCGACATGCCTTCGGCTCACTTCAATGCTTGTAGTCGCCGTTATTTGAATGTAATTTTTATTATTTCTAATGTTCGTCGTACTAACATGATTAAAAAATTAAATGTTTCAAAAAAAGTACTAGCGGTAGCAGTAGGGGGCTTGGTATAACGCGTATGCCACCAACCCGCCCTCTCGTCCTAATCATGTGGATGCGCTGTGTGCTGGGGCCAGAAATTCCCAAAGCATGGACAAACCACAGCCCACAGTGCCTGGAATACTTCTTTTTTCGATCACCGTCCAATATGTACGTACATGATTCGGGCCTAGTCGG